GCATTCGACTAGACACATTACGCAAGCTGGATAATAGGATTTGCTCTGCACCATCTGATAAACCATTTGTTAACACCCTGAGGTTTCCCAACCGAATTGCATTTGATCTCATTCGAATCCCGTCGCGACGACTGTGCATTCCCTGCCTGGTGAAAGGTTAGTTGATCTAGATTATGCGGACGATATCGTCTTGCTTTTCGACAATGTTGAGGCGGCACAATCAACCCTGAATAGCCTATCCAGAGTGGTCCCATTATTTGGTATGCACTTCGCACCTTCAAAGTGCCAAGTGTTGCTGCAGGACCACCAGCCACTTGACGACCCCTTGACGCTTGCTAACGAGGAACTCGAGGTGGTTGATCAATTCACTTATCTTGGCAGCTGCATCAGCAATGATGGGCGCATAGAAACTGACGTGAGCTCACGCATTGCAAAGGCCAGAGCTGCCTTCTTGAACCTGCGTCGTCTTTGGCGACAGAAGGGAGTTTCCCTCCGTCTGAAAGGCCGTGTATACAAGGCCACAGTGAGGGCCGTTCTGCTCTATGGTAGTGAAACTTGGCCCCTTCGGTCTGAAGATCTGAGGCGCCTTCAAGTTTTTGATCATCGTTGTTTGCGAAGCATTGCTGGTGTCGGATGGCACCAGCGTGTCCGCAACGATGATGTGCGTAGGCGAGTACTAGGTGGTGATAATCATGCTAGCTCCCTAGAACAACAGATAGCACTGAATAAGTTGCGTTGGCTGGGGCACGTGCTACGTATGCCTGGTCACCGCTTACCTAGGAGGGCCTTGTTTAGTCTACCAGGTGTAGGATGGCGCAAGGCTCGAGGTGGACAGAAGTTGACTTGGCAGCGGGAAATGAAGTCACTGACGACCAAACTGGGTGCCGTTGGTCCGTCTCGCCTTCCGGGTTGGAGTCCACGTGACTCACCTTGTGCTTGGCTCGAGACTTTACAGGACATGGCTCGCAACCGACACCAGTGGCGCGTCTGCTGCCGTCTCCTAGTCGGATTGTCTGTTTAAAGTGTGTTTGGTGCTGAGTTATCTGCGGGGTAATGGCTGATTATGACGCGTGGCAGTGAAAGCCGCAAGGAAGCTGTCTCGCCGATGCCGCCTTATGTTTGCACGATAGCCAGCTGTTTGTGACGGTATGTTGTCTACACAAGGTGTAGGCGCCTTGACCCTGAATGTTTGCTTAGGGCATTAAGGTTTTCAGGTAAGTCCCCCTTCTCTCCCTCTTCTTATTCTTTATTTCCTAGGTCCTCATGGTTGTATGGCAGCGAAGCATCAGTTCAAATGGCTGATGTACTGCTGTTGATGATGATGATGCGACGAGTATGCCCGAGTCCCCTCAGGCGCCTCAGCAGAAGTATGTAGTGCATTACATACTTGCCACTACGTCGGAGCACCTCCGTATCGGCAACGCGGTCACTCCAGCTGATGCACAGAATACGTCGCAGGCACTGTTGATGGAAACTCTCCAGATAACGGACATCTTTCCGATAAAGCGCCCAGGTTTCGCTGCCTTATAGAAGAATGTACAGTACCATAGGCTTGTACACCATCAGCTTCGTCCAACAGTAAGCTGGTAGTTGTTCCACACACGTTTCTCCGGCTTTTCAAATGCGGTAGCCGCCTTGCTACACGGATGCACAGCTCGCTCGTCATCTGCAGTTCGGTAGACATTACACTACCTAGGTATCAAAATCTTGAAGTGGATTCCAAAACATCGTTGCCAATGTGGATTTGCGGCAGGCCCACGGATTCCACTTCTGGGGAAGGCTGAAAGAAACACAGTCCTGCTTGTGTTTATGGGGATCCTGAATCTTGTCGCTGTCGAAGCAAGAGCCCGTCATGTGCTGCAACATCCGCGCTGTGCGCAAACAACGCACAGTCGTCAGCAAATAGCAACATACGGATGGTTGTCTCACACACTCGGGTTCTCGCCCAAGAACGATGGATGTTCAGCAACGTATCATCAGTACGGTGCTCCACGCGGACACTACAATCACAGACAGCATCAAAAGCACAGGACATCATTGCATTTAGATAAATGTTAAGCAGAGCACTGGCTAGGACCCCCAGTTTTGCCTCACACCAGAAACAACTGCGAAGTCATCCGAGGTCTGCCCACTCAGCTGCACCGTCCCCCGTATACCACTGTACAGACATTCAATTAAACTTGCAATCAAACTTAACACCGTCACTGTGTCAAATGCCTTAGTGAAGTCAACCAACAGCAAGTACAATGACTGGTGTCGTTCTCGGCATTTTTCCTGCAGCTGACGAGCCGCAAACACCATATATATGGTGCTGCGGCGCGCACATAATCATCATTGCTCTTCAGAGACCTGGTTGATGAGGTGGTTGAGCAGGATTCGGGCGATCACTTTTCCCACACAGCTCAATACCTTGATGCTACGATAATTCGCGCAACATGGCTTGCTTCCTTTGCCCTTACACAGCTGTTGCACGTGGGCATCCTTCAAGTCAGCCGGCACCTCTCCCTCAAACCACGCGCGTTGCACCAACTGGCGCACAGGACGCCTGCGCCTACAGAGGGAACATGGGTGGCTTGCGCTGCAGCACGGCTCCAGCCACACACCCCATCTTCACTGTAAACCCGAAGGAATAAGACCGAGGGGCATGTGGATGGGAGCCACGTTTCATCGACTGAGCCGCCCCACACTCCTTGAACAAGCAGAGAAGAAGCATACCTGCCTAATTGAGGAATCATGTGTACCATACGTGCACAAGGCTGTGGCTGGGCCGTAATCCACTCCACACTAGATAGAACCACTGAACCTAGCACGGCCACGAAAACCGTGCACCCCCTCCCACCAGCAACGGTTCACACTCTCCTGGAACAAGTAATCGATGGTGCAGGTTATTAGACAGGTAGGCACCTTGTCAACACTCACATCAGGCTCAGCCACACCAGGGATATCAAACAATCAGCATAGAATTTGAGGGAAAGAAAACGCAGCAGAATGACGGAATTGAACAGACCAACTAAAGAGGAACACTTTTTATCCATATTAAACTGATTTAGTTTTGTGTGAATTAGTGTAGTCCAACTGTGGTGAAGAAGCATCATGAGTGCTGCAACATAAACCTCAACATGAGGCACATATATATCAGCAGTTTATGTATGGACGTAGAGCCATAAAAAACGGAATTCAAAGGAAGGAACAGATGGCTTAACACAGAAAAAGAACACAACATATCATTTTATGTTTCCTTTAGAGGACGCGATACCACTCGGTTGCTCAAACCGAAGCAGAAATTTGACCTAGAGGATACCACCCTAACTCTTAGGTTGAATAGCTCGTCCATAAGGCAGTTGTGCAAAGGCCGAGAATCGTGCGCATTATGAGTTGGTGCCTGATTACTCAATTCTATGCACTTTTCGTTTTTGGTCGGTTACCAAACAGAGGCCCAATCCTCCCCCACAATTTCTGCATCAGGCTACTGGAGTAATCTACTCCGCCAACAACAGCGACCTTATTTAGTGGCCAACCACATCCGACATGTGTATCATTGTGTGTCCTTTTTGTGGAAAGAACGCTTACCGGCCCCAAACCCCCCATCACGTCCTGGAACAGTGTCGCCGAACCGTTCGCTGGAACGGATAACCCCGAACCACCTAGCTAACCTCACGTGAAGATTGTTTGGCGATGCAAGCAGAAGTACTGAAATCCCGATCAGCGCAACCGGACGTATTGTCACTCTGACCTACAATTTGTCCCCAGAATTCTACCCTGTACATGTCTGAGTGTCTACCATCGTTAACAACGGATGTCCTATTCCTGAGACTCCGCTGTGTCCGGTCAGCACGGGTACAACTGCCTGAATTTTGCAAACTCAAACTGCTTATCATTGAAGACGCAAGCCAACTGTAGGCTATCTTCCACGAACGATGGCTAGCGTCTTCTCATGTCGCCTATCCGCTTTGAAATGGACTCCAATCAGTCAGTAACTATTCACTTAGCAATGATAGTTCTGCAGTCGTGATGAGGAGAATACGCGAACGTCACAGATGACGGTTGGTGAGTCATTCCACGACCTTGAGGTTTGCAGCTGTTAGCTCCTTTCACTATGGCTTAACTACCACATTGCAGGGCTAAACCTCCGCCGATTCCGAAGAAAACCTGCTTTTGTAACAAATACACGGCCCCTTGTGGTTGAAAGCCGACGGTAGCTTACTCAAATACCTTTTCTCTATTTGTTGCCTGACGAATTTGGCAATGTGCACGAGGCCATGGTTTTCCTTGTCGATTGACAGCACATCTTTGTTTATTATCACCTCTGACAAAACTGGACTGAAATTATGCTTTTAAGCCCTGCTCATGTCTGGTCTACCCTTACACATTCTGTGGTGCCCAATCGATGACGTGGCATGAAGAAATTAGCTGATCCATGTGGCCTTCATGGATGGTGGTCCTTACATGATCCTCGCCAGTGATTGGAGACTGTCAGACATGGTGTAGTCAGTGGCGTTCCTGTATTCATTTTACCGCATCCAGCTTTTTATCTTCCATCCCGATTGGTTTTGCGCACTTCTGTCTTGCTTCCATTTTCTTTGTATCTTATTTGCGTTAAGCCTTATTTTGTTACCGTTCTTCTACATTGCTGTTTTGGTAACACCAGTCGTGGCAACAGTATCCACCGCACTTCGGTGCGCGAAACATAGTTGGTCAACTGATTTGAACTGAACTATTTCTGTGTACCAAAAATGCAATATCGTGTGGCGCGTTTTCTACGCGTTGTGGTATCGCACACAAGCATTTGATATATGTGCATCTTGCCTCTGTGTAAACATCCGGGCTGCATATGCTAATCTTTACTTACTTTAAACGATCTCCCTTTGTTCTCCAGTTCTCTGCCCGATCAATGAATCGCTCCAGTTACTTACCAAATTGAGCGCTTTTCATTCTCAGCGCAATCCAGTTTTCAATTTCCAACAGTCCATTTGTTCCTCTTCTTCACCACCCGCTTCGTGATGTTTCGATTACAACGGTTTAAGTATACTGCGTTCATCGGACAAGTGGGGCGCTGTAAGTTTTCATTTTCGCCTCAACAAATTTGCACCTAAGGTGTCCGGAACATGTTCATTCAGGTACAAGATACGCCCAACCCGAATAGCATGAAGTATTTTCCTGGGAAAGACGTACTGGGTGCTGGCACTTTTGATTTCCCTTCCATGGTCCACACGAAACGCTCCAATTTGGCCCGCCAGTTGTTCGGTATCCAGGGAGTGGAGCGCGTTTTTTTCGGCCCCGACTTTATCACAATCACCAAGGTAAGTGTTGCCACTTCTTCTCATCTCGTTCAACCAGGCCGAGGATGTGGATTGGAAGGTCATCAAGCCCGAGGTGTTCGCCACCATCATGGATTATTACGCTTGTGGTTTGCCTATCATGAATGAAGCGGTGGAAGACGAGTGTAAGTCACCCGTCTTCTCTTACCGATTTTATAACGAGTCCAATTGTTATACGATAAATTTATGCAAGACGCTGCACGCCTTAGCATCAAAATGTCAAGCAATGTTGCATGACCGAGCCCATACACCACCAATTTTGGCTAGCACCGAAGAGACACTCAAACTTATCCACCGGTCACATCACTGAGAAGCTTACTGCGGTGTCAGCAAGGCTTATATGGCTTTCCGACGTCTCATTCGCCTATGGAAACAACAGTACAACAATCTGTCAGTCATTAAGGCTGATGTCACTACTGACAGAATAGTTTTTATTATCAGTGAGATCACCGGCTGTGTAAAAATGCCGTCCGCCAGCTGTTATCTGTTTCGCAACGACTTCCTAACACGACACTGACATGTCGGTTGACTTCGGACCATTTATATTGGCTAAGTCAGCTCTCGTAAACCCATTGACCCCCCACTAGTACGGGTATTATTCTTCGCGGCTGCACCTGCTTGTGTGGGATTACGTGGTGGTCGGCTAATGAAGTGACAGAATAACATGGAGAATTTAGTTGAGGGATCTAGTCCGAACACTACGTGTTGTATCCTTCTTCTGGGGTCCCCGGGGTCGGGCACATCTGTAGGTGAAGACGATATGCAGTGTGGTACAGTCGCGTTAGGTCAACGGTGTTCCTGCGTTTGTCTCTTCATATCCGTCTGTTAGCACTTCAAGTCGAACGACTTTAACTCCCGTTTTTCTTGGCGGTCTTTTAGTGCCACATTTTTGCGTGTTCCTTAGCACTTCCCCTACCGTTGTTAATCATTGTTGTCATGGCTCCATCTCACTTTGGTGCTCGGACAACAATTGTTTGACTAAAACAAACAATCAAAGCAGAAATAAAAGTAAGTCAGTCGGGGATGAGTCGGAAATTGGTTAAACTATTATCATATTGAGTGACAATCAGTTGGAACTAGGTGAGTAAAGGTAGGTGTGCCACTTGTTACTCGAACGCACTTCATTTTGCGGGAGGTTTCTAGCCACCGATATTGCCAATCTATCGCCAGTTGCATCGAAGCTTCTCCTAAATAACTACGCTTATGGTCTCCAAGACTCTTCAAAAGAAGCGGTCAACAACGGGCTTTTGAGCAGTATAACCTGACAGCTGTTGGTGACACATCTCCAGTAGCTAATCAGTGAAATCATCATTGCTTTTCGACAGATGCCAACTGGCGAGCCTCAGCATCGCATTCACTGCGCTTCCACTCGATGTGACTGACTGTAGACATTGGTGATCAATACCAAGTAGTTTATACCATCGTTGATGCAAACGAGCCGTCTCTGTGTCGCCCACCATCACCAAGCATTGCACGGCATGATACACCTTGGCAGTAACTAATCTACTGCTGTCCACTTCCCTAGTTAGCAGTCAATAATTCAAAAATCATCATCTTTCATCTTACGCGCCGCTGCTACGTCGGTACTTTGGCATCGCTTTGAATGCTATTTCATTACTCACAAATGTCCTATGACCATCCGACTATCAAAGCAAACTTCGGTACTGATCACATACCTACTATTCGGGAAACTTGGAATCATATTTACCCTACTGAAGCTCGACGCGCTGTTCATCACTTGCATCGCCTTTTCGCCGATTATTTCTCATTGTCCATTCTCACTGTGTTCTTTCCAACCCACTCCTACTCCGTTCAAGATCATGTAGAACTTAAGGAAATGTTATATTTTTTGACAATGCGAGGCACGCCTCTGCACAAACGATCGGCAAATGTAGAAAAACATTACATGTTTACTGGTAACCTTGAATGTATGTTGTATGAATCTATGTATATATGAAGGTATGTGTGAATGTATCGGTGTTACTGTAGTGATTGTGCTCGGTCGGATCGTCATCATGCGAAGAGATCAAGGGAAATCTTCAACTTGGATGACTGACGTGTATGAGTGGGTAAGGTCATTTGTACAAACGAGGAACTGTGACTTTCGGTTTTTTTTTGGAGCACCCGCCGTGTGTCTTGGATTGCGACGCTCAATCTCACTAGTGGCAGCGGTGGACTTGGAACTGTGACTTTATTTCGTGGTGAGTCATACCCGCCATGTCGCAGTGTCGTTAAACAGACATTTGTGGCTTTTATGGGAGAACGCTTGCCAGGCGGAAACCCACAACATCCTGGAACATTGTCGCCGAACCATTCGTTGGAACGAGGTCTACCCGTACTATCCAGTTAGCATCACGGGGACAATGTTCGAGGAGACTAGTCACGCCAATGCTCCGTTGTCTGTCAGTGCGGTTGATTTTGGTCAGCTCGCATGGGTGGCACTTGGTTCGTTTTCTACTCGCCAGTGAGCTTCGTGCGCTCAGTAGATCAGCCACTGCTACACTCCATCTGGTCAGCCTGGATGCGTTGGTGCGCAGGTGATGTTCGGGATAATGCGCTTCCCCTTGGCTGTAACTATGCTGCGCCTCTTTGGTGCTACGCTTAGCTACTTCTGCCTTGTTCCTCCGGTCCTTGTGACCGTGGTCAGATCAAGTGGGTTGTGCCTGATTGGCCTTCTGTCTACTCTTGCGGCAACTGACTTGCTCACCCAGATGACTTGCTACCATCACAGTAAGCTCAAGTGTTGCTATCGTAAGCTTGCGTCCGGAAAGTATTCGAAGCACTTCAGCCTAGCAATCTTGACCTGGCATCGAAAGAACGATATCCTACTTACTCCCTGAGTATGTCATTCGTCCAATGGAAGCGTTTTTCAACCTGGATAAAGCAGCGTGTGTCATTTTACCAGGACGCAACCTGTGAGAGGAGAGATGAGGCTTCTCTAACCTTCGCCTATGATGGTCAGCTCCCACGTCAAATGTTCACCATGGTGAGAATTCGCATTGCATGCCTTTCCGTGATAGACCATATCACGAACACTTGTTGTCAACCAAACCAAAACAGTTTTCCAGTCACAACAAGCAATCATAGCCTGTCGCGTGGATATGATACCGATTAAAAAGTTGACGGGAACTGAATAGCAAAGGGGGCATGATCGCTGTGCCGTGCTGCTTTCTTACATGATCTTTCCTCCCTAGTGCTGCTTGCTTGAGAACTCGACTTGGGACACCCAAGTGTCTGACCTTGATGCTGCAACTCCTTAGCCAAACCAGCTTGTGTGTGCTTTTCATGGGTTATCTCTGGAACGAAATTGATCGTGAATCCTAGTAAACAATATATCTCACCGTTACCGCTTTTGGGCCAAATTTAGGTTTTATCCGTCCGTCCGTCAGAACAGATCCGTATCCCTCTCCCCCCCCCCAAACTTTTATTTTTCAATGTATATTTGTCGGACCATTTTACTTCTGGACACCTCTTGCCATCGTACACTTTATCTAAATGAATCCTTGGTCTCTCGACTGCACACCTACTCCTGCTGACACAGTTTACACCTATCAAATGTTTTGTGTACGTATGAATACAGAGGCCATGCGTGGTACCTTTGACTGCACAGCGACCGATACCCAGCGTGCATCTGCTGCCTGCGGTTTGTCAGCACTCTGGATAATGCATCTGTTCCGGTGGGAATGTTGACTAGATTTATTCCTCCTTTTCCTTGAGTTGCAATGTTTTATATCCGCTCAGAAGCAACTTCCGTATCAAATCTGGCTTACTGAAATTAGCCCGGACTTGATCTTTACTTTGCGTTCGCTTTTTTTTATTAAAACGATGCTGCATGACTTTTTCCACATAGTATACCTCATCTTATTTGAATGATTTTCTTACCACGCTTTCTTTTTAGCCACTGCCGTTGAAGAGGATGAGGGTGATGAAACTGTGATGATGATTAAGGAACTCCTTGATACTCGAATTCGGCCCACCGTTCAGGAAGACGGAGGTGATGTCGTCTACATGGTACGTTTCCCGCTAACAGAGCATTACCCGGTCTTGTAGGAGGCAAATGTTTGCACCTAGTAGAATTAGTAGGGATGAATCGTCGCAATTAACTCTCAGTCAGCGGTACTCCCACGCGTCAAACATAGCACTAGACGGCCGTCTCGTCTTACTTGGACTCATCAGTTTTGCGCATCTCCAGCTCAAGTTGGAACCGAACGTGTGACCTTTTGGTGTCAGTGGGTTAAACCACTAGACCATAGGTGTTGGCTACAAACAGTCATGATTTCCAAGCTAAGTGCGACATGACCTGACCCGTCTCCCATGCGAGTTACCGACTTTGTAGAGGAAGGGATTGGTCCCTGTGGCCACGAGTTCCGATGCAGCAGCTCTGCACGACGTGACATGAAAGTTTGCTGTAACGAACCACCTGTGTTTTATATCAAAATTCCCTACTCATAAAAAATTGACTATGCTTACTTTTACTTATTAGTCTTGATGCTATGGTGTATGCAGTGCATTCACGTGATGGTTACGTAGCTCTCCTGATAATGGCATGCTGCTTTCGTACAGTATGAGTTTGTATTAACGTGCTGGAGCCGACGTTTAGGGAAAACTCTACCTACCTCTCTTGACTTGCTTGCAAATAGTATCTGGTGGCATTTGTGTCTTGGTTTACTTGTTCCTCTAGGTTAGTGGGCAAAAGGATAGGTCGCGTACCTTGTAGTTTAAAGATCACTAGTTCGAATCTGCGTAGACGCCAGGCCCCGTTGCAGTATCCCCAGCCCGCACACAATTGGTGGTCGTCGTGTGGCAGCGAAGGGTTGGTGCGGCGTACTGCTGATGCGTTTGTCTTTCTTGGGTCCACGAAGAGACCGTAGATGGTTTGCACCATCTCGGATTCAGTGCGAACCCGAAGAAACAAGACTGAGAGGCATACCAATGCTATATCATTCGCATGCTCTATGCTTGAAATATTTGTAGTCTCAAACGAAAGCCAACTGCGCGTTTCATCTGATGAATTGGCAACCACAGCTGTGGACCAATCATCAAAGTAGCTACCGTACACTTTGTGTCCGTATCGCTCTGTTTGCCACGTGGACGATCTAGCCGCTTAAATCTGTCCCACCTGGGCCAGACGCAGAGAACGCGACGACCTTGCACGTGTAGACAATTCAGCGTACACGCGACCGGCAGGAAACGGTAGGCGCTCGGGCCTCTATGGGAGTAACATTGATCGACGCAATGGATTGTGGTGGCCAATCAAAGCCCAAGTTACCGTATCCAGAACGATAATAGTTTGTGGCCTTCTTCCATGCCATAAAAATGTACGGATTGGAATCCAGTGTAGCAGTTGCCAAGGCAAGTTTCATCGCAACTATTCCAAGCTCACAGTGAACCAGTTGAAGCTACACAATAGTAAACTAGATTCACTGTGGTTCTGTTCAGCATGTATGGTCATCCCACTGGTAAATATTGTATATGAACTATCGCAGAAGTACGGAAGACTAGTTGCTATGTTTGAACAAATGAGGAGCACCCAAAGCGATTCATTTGCAGAAAGCGTGACGGAGACCAAATCCCAGTCATTCCCATCAGGCTCCGCATTAGAACTGAGGAAGCAGGCTAGGAAGCTCGCTAAAAATGCCTCTTTTATAGCATTACATGTCAATACCACCAATTTCTCAAATTGGCCTGAAAGAACCACCGCCAGTCGGATTGCAGTGAGCACGGTCGGGGCACGTCCACCCTCCAAACGGTTCCGAAAATTCAGAAGGGCTTCAACACCAGTGGTGGTTGGAACTTGGATGCTGCTAACCGTGACCGGAAACCTAGCTCTTCGATCACTCCTATTGGACTCATAGTAAATGAAGAAGATGAAGCTGTACCCAAGCAGCCTCCATCAACTGTGTACAGACCAGCTGTTCATTTGATCACAACCAGAGTTGCAAGTAGTATACCAGCGGTTATCTGCACTAACGTTCAATAATCGGCGTTAAATTCCTTAAAAGGAAAACAAATCGATAAAGTGACCCAGTGGAACTCCATATGGGATACTATAGATGTTGTGACTAACCCCGTCAATTTGACATGCGTTACCCGTCACCCAAACTAACAGCACTACGGTGAACCAAGACTCCTCCGAGTTGTATTGACTACTGCTAATGAAGCAGAAGCTGTCCTGTTATCGACAGCTCGCCTCCGGAATGGGTCATATTCCATCCGCCTATTCCCGCATATTCCGTGTTACCGAGCGCAGACAGGCAAATCACTACTTGGACGTAAACCGGAAGGAATCCGTAGCCAGGACCATTCTTGTACATGGTGTTCCCGAGGCTGGAAGTCATGATGAGCGCGAAGCGACCAGGAACAGTGGCGGTACATTCGCGAGACACTCGCTGGAAAACATCATAGCGCAATCAATCTGCAGACTGCGCCGATCGCCAAACTACAAAGGATGTAGCCCGGGGATTGTAAAAGTGGTCTTTCAATCTAGACAAATGTCAGCTATGGTAGTGGACAGATGGTATGCCGGCCGCAGTAGCCTTCCTTTCGAGCTCCGGATCAAAGCAATATCTGCTGAGCAAACACACGGGAGCATCCACTTAGTCAGACCACTTACCGACAAGAGTTCGGACAATTTCAACCGACTAGCCAATGACACAGATAAACACACCCCATACATTACATACAAAGAGAGAAGCAAAGAGACAATGGTAGGATCCATGAATCGGACACAGATGCGTTCATCATCACCCCACCCAAAAAATGATTAGTTGCCGACCTTACACCGGCCGGCACAATATTTTATCCAAAACACACATCCCACGATTCATGGCTAAAAGCAGAGAAACTTTCTTGCTTGTACACCAATGGACAAGGTCTCCAGGAGTACTTTGCCGAACTGCGGCTACATCAAACGTCACATGCTTAGGACCTCATATTCCTTACGGAAACCTGGTTGCACTCAGAAGTGACCGCTGCAGAGGTCGCGCTAAATGCTATGTCCCTTCGAAACAATCGACCTAGCAACGGCGGGGGTATTGTTATACTATCGCAACGACCTGCACTGCGAACCGGTGGCCGATCCGGAAACGCTGATCATAGACTCACTCTGGTGCAGTCTGCGACTGAGACGTAATGACACTTACGTTTTGGCCACTGTTTATCGTCCCCCAATGTCCACCCCATAGATGGACTCCCGCCTGCCATTATCCTTGGGAAGGGTCCTACGAGGACGATGCAGCCATGTCCCCATCTCAGACGATTTCAATATTCATGTTTTGGAAGTTCCAGCATCCCCCAACGGGCAGTTTAAGGCCGATTTGCAAGAGTATATTGCAAGCATCCTGCTCTTTAGCTATGTCACTTTACCCATCCAATTCAACGCCGGAAATTAACCATCTGTACTTGCTTTAGTGCTTACGAACGAAGAGCTCATGGTTGAGAAATCAAGGTTGGAGAGCCCTCTGGGGCGGAGCGAACACGTAGCATAATTTACTACTTCATGTGTTATGCGGTGTATCCACGATAACATGGTAACTTATTTCGTACAATCACCCACTACGACATACTGGCAGAACTTGTGGGAGTCTCTGGACGACTGTTCCATTGACAGTGCTTTGTTGGATTTTACTGGCAAGTTCAGTGATGTGATTAAATCTGCATCGGTCAACAAGCCCCTTCGTTCTGCTAAGGCACAATCATTCATTCGGAGCAGAACCCGAAAACACCTCGGGACGTGTGTACAGAGCGGACACTGGCTCTGACAACTGGAGTGACTATGTTGTGCAACGTTATCACTGTACCACACTTATGCGCGAGGACAAATTAGTACGCCAGCAGAGTCTAGCGGAGTAGTTTTGTGTTAACAACAGCTTCTATACAGACATGTGAACAGCCTCCGGAATGTGAAACGTGGTGATCCCCCACTAATATCAGCGAATGGATGTGCTCAAACCGCCGAGGGTGCAGCCGATGTTCTACGACTACAATATGCCCCAACTTTCCGATGTGCTCCAAGCATTTGTAACATACTTGTCCCATTCTCCCAGATGCCAGTATTTACACACGTCACGTTTAATTCAGCGATCATTTTGAGGAAACTTCTGTCGTTGCGCACCCATAGTTCCACCGGTGTTGACAACATTCCCCTGAAAGCGCTGCAGGTGGCAGCTACGAGGATAGCTGAACCATTAACGAGATTTTTCCAAAAATGCCTGGTAGAACAGCAGGTCCCTAACATGTGGAAGCAAGGCATCATTACCCCGATTTTCAAAAGTGATAGCTCTTCAGAGCCAGCCAATTATCGCCTAGTGATTCTCCTCCCGATGATCTCAATGGTGATGGAATCGATCGTAACTGAGGATGTAATGGGCTACTTCGAAAGGTCTAAAACCATAACGCCTGAGCAACACGGATTCCATCAGCATCGGTCATGTCTACCAACCTACTGCTTGCTCGTGACAGTTTGACCGAGATAGCCGACATTGGGACCGGCATTAATGTCATCTACCTAAACTTTTCCAAAGCATTCGACCGCATAAATCACCGCATCCTTCTCCAAATGCTGCAAGCATACGGAGTTGGAAACCCTGTCCTTGGATGGATCGGAAACCCTCTTTCAGCGGCATCTTCAGGTTCGTGTTCGAGCTTCATTTTCTGATCCAATTGGTGTGGACTGCAGTGTTCTACAAGGGTCGGTGTTGGAGCCACGGTTATCATTGTTCTTCATTAACAACCTTGCGAATGTCATCAAGTCAAAGTCCCTGCTTGTTTGCCGATGACATCAAGACATGGCGAGCAATCGACTGTCAGGAAAATCACGATAGGTTGCAACGAGACTTGGACTGCGCTTTTGGATGGTCAACGGTAAATCTACTTCCGGTTAACACGGACAAGTGCAAAACCGTGCATGTTCGCCAAAAGCCTACGTACGCATATAAGCTTGTAGATGACATTCTGAAAACCACCTCACAAAAGCGAGACCTTGGGTTGGTGATGCAAGACGATCTCGGCTGTTCGGCGCAGTCCTTGAAGGCGTCCAAAACCGCAAACCAACATGTTGGTCTGTTACAGAGGGCGTTCGGAAGGTTCGATCCATCCATCTTCCTTCAAATGCTCAATTTGTATGTGAGGCCCCATGTAGAGTACGCGATCCAGGCTTGGCAACGCTGGTTGCACTGGAGACCGCACAGCGACGGGCAACAAAAAATGTGAAGGGGTTGTCCCAACTGCAATACCGTAGGCGACGGAAAGTCCTGGGGGTGTACAGAGGAAGATACCGTCTTCTACTGGGTGACCTCATCCTGGTGTTCCAGATTTTGAAAACCCCGGTCACACTTGCCGCCACCTGAAGCTTTGCCACAACACAGAATTGAGGGGTCATAAGTTGAAACTGCCCACCCGATATAGTCGGCTTGAGTGCCGCCGAAGTTCTTTATCCCTTCGGGTTTGTCAACCATGGAACGCTCTTTCGACTTTTGTCATTTCCGCACACACGTTACCCATTTTTTAAAAATGACTCGAGGATGCTTTACGCCACCTACATTACTTGAGCTGATTTTTATTCACTGAGTGACGACATGGCGCAGGCAAACATTGTGCTCACCAACCCCACTAAATCCGGGTAGACGGATATACCTGTGCATAATACGGTGAGTCCGCAGATGTGTTTTTCTCTTTTGTCTAGCTTCCTTGAACTAACCTTATTCCCACAAACCATCCCACGGGACTTGTCAAGCCTTGGCTTTTTCTATCCGTATTGTACCATTGTTGCATTGTCTGTCATCCAGTCGAACTCCGACTCAAGGAAAAGTGTAAAAATGGCTCACTGATGAATAGTTCGATTCCAAGTTACCGGGAACTGTAACGACAGTGCTGAGGTTGTCTTAGTTCGCCCTCTTTAATCCTAGTCATCAACTAGAGGTTACTAGAGGAACAAATGCATTTGAACTCCCCACGGGGGATCAACGAGTTTGGAGGGTAGATAAGCCGTCGTTCGCTTACGGTTCAGAAAGCAGACAAAACAGGTCCTCTAAACCTGCATGACAGCTAGTGCAACAAAGTGGTTGGACATTGGCAGGACTCTGGTTAGAAGAAAATGACTAAAGACCTTTAGCCGATTATGAGTCTTTCGGATTAGTCTTTTTCACTTAAAATGAGACACTGTGTTATTTTCAAGCCTATCCTGCTTGATGGCTAGTTTCGTAGGAGTGGTTCAGTCAGCTCCCGAGACATGCAAACCGTCACGCTTGAGATAAGCATGAGCGCGTACCTCTCGGATGATGTCAATCATCTCGCCTACTGAGTCATGCTCCTTAATTCCCATTGCTCTCTGGGTGCTAGACTAGTAACAGTTCTGTCACATGTTGTGCTTGCTATTGTTTTCGTTTCTTTGTCACTTATAATACAATCTTGTTATGCAACTTTTTATGTTTAAAACTTCATTCTCCCATCTTTTCAGGGATTCAAAGATGGCATCGTTAAGCTCAAATTGCAAGGCTCCTGTTCCAGTTGTCCGAGTTCCATCGTCACACTGAAAAATGGGGTACAAAATATGCTGCAATTTTACGTACCGGATGTGTTGGGTGTTGAACAAGTCGAAGATGAGGCGGACTCTGTCTCCGCGGAACAGTTCAGGCGAACCGAGGCCGAGATCGGTGCCGATAAGCCAAAATCATGACACTATTTTTCCCTTAACAATCCCAATGGAGTCCTGCCTACAATTCTTTCTTCATCTTTTGTACATATATCTATATATCAATCAATACTTGCACTCGTTGGCTACTGTGATCGTTTAGCCAGCTGCTTTGACGAGTTGAGCTGCTTTCGCCGCAGTTTTGACCTCAAATGTCTTTCACAAGCTCTACTGTACTTTTTAGCGCATGCGTCCTTACCAAATCATTCTGACTGTGCTCATGCATCTATTCGCTTGCTGCTTCGCTGTATCAACTTTTGTTTTCTACGTCTTGCTTCATTACAACCTGCCTGACCACTTGGCATTAAAAGCACGTGATGTTGATCATGATAAAGTATGGTCATTTGCGTATACGTTGGTCGCGCGGCAGCGAAGCGCCGTTACGGCGTACAGCTGACACATTATTAGTATTAGTATTAGTATTATTATTATGCGTTGAAACTGGAAAACAGCAACAACAGCAGTATATCAACCGCTTGAACCGATGCTTCGCTGCCAAACAACCATTATGACCTATGAAATAAAGAGGGAGAGAAGGGGGACTTACCTGAACACCTTAATGCCCTAAGCAAACATTCAGGGTCAAGGCGCCTACACCTTGTGTAGACAATATACCGTCACCAACAGCTGGTTATCATGCAAACATAAGGCGGCATCGGCGAGACAGCTTCCTTGCGACTTTCACTGCCCCGCGTCATAATCAGCCATTACCCGGCAGATAACTCAGCACCAAACACACTTTAAACAGGCAATCCGACTAGGAGACGGCATTAGACGCGCCAGTGGTATCGGTTGCGAGCCATGTCCTGTAAATTCTCGGGCCAAGCACAAGGCGAGTCACGTGTACTCCAGCTCCGAAGGCGAGACGGACCAACGGCACCCCATTTGGTCGCCAGTGATTTCATTTCGTGCTGCCAAGTCAACTTCTGTCCCCCTCGAGTCTAGCGCCACCCCAGACCTGGCAGACTAAACAAGGCCCTCCTAGGTAAGCCGTGATCAGACATACATAGCACGTGCCCGAGCCAACGCAACTTATTCAGGGCTATCTGTTGTTCTGGGGAGCCAGCATGATTATCACCACCTAGTACTCGCCTACGCACATCCTCGTTGCGGACACGCTGGTGCCATCGGACATCAGCAATGCTTCGCAGACAACGATGATCAAAGAGTTGAAGACGCCTCAGATCTTCAGACCGAAGGCGTCAAGTCTAACTCCCATAGAGCAGAACGGCCCTCACTTTGGCCTTGTGTACACGGCCTTTCAGACGGAGGGAAACTCCCTTCTGTCGCCAAAGATGCCGCAGATTCAGGAAGGCAGTTCTGTCCTTTGGAATGCGTTAGCTGACGTCAGTTTCTATGCGCCCGTCGTTGCTGATGCAGCTGCCAAGATAAGTGAACTGATCAATCATCTCGAGTTCCTCGTTAGCAAGCGTCAAGGGGTCATAAAGTGGCTGGTGGTCCTGCAGCAACATTGCACTTTGAAGGTGCGAAGTGCATACCAAATAATGGGACCACTCTAGACAGGCTATTCAGGGTTGATTGTGCCGCCCCAACAACGTCGAAAAGCAAGACGATATCGTCCGAATAATCAAGATCAACTAATCTTTCACCAGGCAACACTTCAACGCCTACTTCGTGACGCATGGGCAACTAGAAGACAAACGACTATTGAAGCAAGATGGGGATAAAAGTGAAATTGAAGCTGGACGATAAGGATGAAGACCTGCAAGAGAGGACGGTTAGACCTTGGCAATAACATCCAAACCCCTATCCACCCTGCTCGATACAGCAGACACGGCACCGTTGATTATCCCCTGCGACGACCAGAGCATCCAGAAGTGGTTTGTAAAGTCGTGTTGTATTGCGTGGGCACGATACTGTCAGGTTGCCCAAGCCTAAAGAGGAGAACGACCAGGGTTTTTAAATAAAGCCTTTGGTTCCGAAATCTTACCGCAAGGCATGGGGTTTTGTACAGTAAGGAGCCAACCTCAATTCAACCCCAAACTTGGTGGGTCAGGAGACTGATTGTTTGGCCAAGCTGGTATGAGTGGCTCTAAAGGTGCAAAATCACCATCCAGCACAGTTCAATGGATCATTGAGACACACGAACCATCACACCACTAAGGTCCAGTCTCATCCCGATGAGGTCTCAAACTGTATAATGAAAACACGAGGCACTTTTGCCAATATTCGCCACCTGTGGCGCCGGCGTGATATCACTGTCGCTCTGAAGTGCGGAGTTTACAATGCAGCCGTCCGTTCAGCATTCCTGTACGGTTGCGAAACGTGGCCCGTTAGATCAGCAGGCATAAAGAGGTTTGCTACGTCGACCATCGCAGCTTGGCTCATGTCTGGTGAGAATATCGCGTGAATAATGAGTGTGTTTGGTGCAGGAAGAGTAGATGAACCACTCAGCACCGTTGTCTCACGCATCTGGTTCTGATGGCTGGGCCACGTATTACGCATGCCGGCACACTGACTTCCGCATGGTGCGTTGTTGCGCGCCGGGGGTGTGGATGGAAGAAGAGGAAGGGTGGCCAAGCGATAAGTTGGTCATGAGGAATGAAGTCCTTCACTTCGAACTTGGCGTCGGTTGGCGTTTCCTGACTGCCGGGCTGGGGTCCGAAAGATGGTGAACACGTTTGGCCGGATACACTAGCTGACACGGCGAGAAGCCGTTGTGTTGTGTTGCGAGTCTCTTTATCCCTCCCCTTTAGCTTCGCCCTCCAACATCGATCTCAAACCCAATGCATAGTGTGATTATAGCATTATGTTACGTTTTTGGCCTTTATACTCCTAATTTTTAGTCTCTTATCTTTTTTGTATTACGGCACATTAGCTGAGGTGTGTTTCTCACTCTCAGTTAACCTGTATTGATGAGCATGATGGTCACTCGCAAATGCTTGCATTGATACTCTGCACAATTTTATCCGCTTACTCTGATTGCCTGTTCAGTGGGCAACTACGCCTACCGTCTGTGAAGTTGTTGCGCTCTGCTTGGATGCTGTTGCGTCCTGTCACGCTACGTGGAGATGTCAAAGGATGCTGCTCACAGTGATTGTTCACTTCCTTCGCAGCTATTGAATCTTCCGTTTTATAGCTAGGCAAGCTGACCTTAGACGGAGGAATATGTTTGACTCATTTTCGAAGCATTTCAAAGGAATTAAAGAGTTGTGAAATGAGCGCGTTATCTGTGAATCGATCTCGAAGCCTTTGTGTTGCTGTAGGTAGTAGGTTACTATCTGATCATATCACTGATCTGCAGTTATTCGAATGCCTGTCAGCTTGTAGCAGTTTGCGTGCTTTCTTCTTAAAGAGGATGCAATCACAGCCGAAGGGTATGTATACAATTTTGAAAATTTTTGGGTTTGAGTCTTGATTAAGGTATGTTGCCTGAGGGCAACGGTATGCAATAACTGCTGGTTGGATCACTATCCTGAATAAAACTGGCAAACTCAGCATACAGATCGCATGCAAATAAATGTGCTGGGCACAACTGCTCAAGGACATATGCTTGAATGGAGAGAAATGTGATTGACATGTATGATTTAAAAAAATTTTAGAAAAGTGAAAAAGGCGTTTTGTTTACTAAAATGAACGAACTAAACTTCCTGAACCAACTCCAAAAATGATGGCAAAAAAATCTAAATAATCTTAAAATGACAATTCACAAGTGGAACTCATAGAAACAGTTGCTAGATGCTGTCTGAGGTATACAGCACACTTTCTGCATTGTCAATTTGGATACCTTTACACCCAGGTCGTTTGCAGCGGCCATTTTTCTCCATGAAAGCCGGCATGTGGTCTGTTCTGTCAGTTCTGATAAGTTTCTGAGGAACGGGTGCTATTGGCCCACGCTTGGCCTTCAGTCGAAGCTGGTTCTCCATGTCCGATGAAGGCCTGCCTCGCTTCATTGGCTTGTTGGCTCTCAAAATATAGTCAGTAATTGATTTTGTAGGTGAGAGAGGACAACTGATCTTTTCTCAACAACTTCTGTTGCGTCTCTGCAGTACACCCACCATGCCTACACGACAGTTGTGTTCAGAAGGTGTCAAATTATTCTGTGGTACCACTTCTTTGACCTGACTGGAATTCGATAGAGAGCTAAAAGCGAGTCCAGGATATCTACTCCACTCATGAATTTATTGTATGTCGTCAGAACAGATGGACAATCCGCCTGGACATACGCATTCTGTTTCTTGTCCCATCGCTGAATTTAACTTGTTAGCACAGTACTGTCCTACATTGTTAGTAATGTGACACCTTTGTTATCAAACCATTCAATGGCTCTGACATCAAAATTATCCATGGTTGCTGTACGAACAATAGCGTATGCTCTTTCATGCCTCTTCATTACAACCTCAGAAGGAAGTTAGCAGCCCATTAAACGGTGGGTGCCAACACGTGCAATCTGATACCTGTTCCACAAGTGAACTGTGCGTGGTATGCCTGTAAACCAATTGTCGAAGTATACCTTCGTACCATCGTTCTCGAGGGATTGGTGCCAGTAGCCTTCGGATGATATTTCCAGAATCCTTCAAGTCTGGCTCACCCTCCACAGGATCAATACGACCTGTGTAGAGCTCTGTGTTATGGATAATACTATTCACACTTGATAGGACGTATATTTTATATCTCCACTTCTTGGGATTCTTTGGGTTATAGCTTTTTAAGCTGGATTTCTCTTTGAAAGGTACCACCTGCTCGTCGATGCTCAGTCACTCATCAGGTACAGTGTTGTTGAATGCCTCTTTCAGCGCTTGAAACAGAGGTCTAATTTCGTAGTTTGTCTGTATTAGGAACAGGCATTGCCAAGTTGTCATTACAATGCAAACTGATTTTTATTGCTTCAAACGTAATTATGGTCATAGTGTATGCCGTGTTGCATAGCGAAACTCGTTGCTCCAATACAGACGTGTGTTAGGCATTCAAACAACACTCATTATGTATGGAATACCTATAAATTCTTCCATCTCTTATTGTTG